TGTTCTTTTTGGATCCATATTTATTTATAAATATTAGTTATCAATCAATCAATCAATTAATTAATCAACACTGGTATTTCACCATCCCTATATGTTGGTGTAGATACGGTCATAAAAAGGTTAAAGAAATGTCCAACCTAGTTTATTTGAGCCCACAGTGATGCCTTTACATGTCAGTCCAAATTTTAATCAGATATAAGAAAATAAAAACAGGAAACTTCATATTTGTGAGTTTTAAAACAGTCAATAATATGTCAGCGTATCATTTCAGCTCTACTACAAAACAGTAAAAAAATAGTCTGAAGCAGTTTCCCAGAGTCACTCATTTGTACATTATGTACCCAAACTCAAAGACCTCAGTGCCTTTTTTTGGTTCAGTAGTCAGTTGGTCTATTACAGTGTATTTTAACTTATCCTGTGAATTTTATAATGTGTTTTCTAAAGATACTTCATAGATATTCAAATATCTACTTATGGTTTATGTTTGTTATTTTTGATGTGCAATGTATTGTAAATATGTGGCTGCAACAAAACAATTTCCCAATGTGGGATCAATAAAGTACTTCAAATCTAATCTGGACCTGCCACAGTTGAAGGTGAGGAAAAAACCTAAATTCAGACGCTGCTTGATTACCAAAATCAAGGCTTGGTTGTTTCACCAGAGGATGTGGTGCACGTGATGGCTGTCAGTCCATAGAGGCAGCCACTTTAATAAGTTTCTCTGATTTCAACAACTCTATTAGTGATGTTTTAAAAGGGTGACATTCAAATACTACCATCAGATCAGGTCTTAATGTTGTCCTGCATAACAACATTTCTATTTGCAACAGCAACAAAGAGAAGGTGGATTTCATCCAAAGAAAATACAACATTCTTATCCAAAGAGAAGATGGGTATGTGTGGTCATAATGCATAGGAAACAGTCTTCCATCTGTGTAGTGCTACAAACTGTTTGAGAGTGTATTTGATTTTGTGCAAAATTCTTAAAACAACTCCTATTGCAGTCAGGCAAAGAATTAATTGGAATCTTGCTTACTTAGTGTTTTCTGCCATATGACTTTAAGAAAGATATGTCAAATTAATCAATAAGTCAGTTCCAGCATAGAAGTTCAGTAGATAATTTGTAAAAGCATGAACAAACAATGACCTATTTAAATACAACACACATGAATGTCTTTTCATTTTCGTCTTACTATATAATGTTTTAGTGAACATTAGAATTCACTCAGAATGAAAGGTTTGTATTTCTCATTTTTAGGATGTGCTGCAGGAGCATGGAGATAAGAGACTGGATCAATAACAGACCTTTGTTTTATTCATTTTTATTCACCAGAACCACATGCCCATGTTTGTTTTTAAAGAATTGTATGCATCTTTTGGTGTGCATTAGCAATTTCATTTGATGTATTACATTGTAGAAGTCTATTATCTTTGTATATAATGAATTGTGGTTTGCTACAATGCAGATAGTCATGCATCCCATTATATTCACTACAGAATTGACAATACACAAATTGAAGGATCTGGCTTTTCTGGTTTTATTTGCAAAGAAATGTAATTATTTCAAGCTAATTCTTAAATGTGTTATTTTTTTTGTAAATGTAATATTAAATCTAAGATGTTATATAATATGTTTCTCTTAAATGTATCACTATAGGCATTGTTTTGTTTCTTTTCTGGAGAGTTTCTTTTTTGTGGACTATTTTAGTTTTTTAATAAAATGGGATGAATCCCTTAGCATCGCTGTGCAAACATTGAAGGACCTGGCATGATTGAAGGATAGAACCTTCCCTATCTGATTACATCTGACCAATACAATGTATTGATTAATTTATTGATTGATTCTGGTCAGCGTTTCAAAGCTTTGTCTTTAAGAGGCATGCACAAAACAGGCCATTCTACATATATAACAAATACACATTATCTCCATCTCCAGGAATATGGTATTCACTTTCCAACCCTTAATGGCATTAGACTGCTGGATATTGAGCTTTATTCGCCTTTAGAACTAAGATTCTTCAAGGAAGATTTGTTTTCTTCATTCAGTCATTTCTTCAATATGTGTTAACGTTCAGTCAGAGCTGATGGTTGACATCTTATTTTAGGTGACAAAAACTATAGCATCTCTAGTACTCAGACAGTGAATTGAGTCACTTATCCCACAATTATGTAATGGGTCTTAAACAGGTTACATTCCAGCCAGTCTTTGAGTTCAAGGCCTGCAAAGACTTTCAAAATTGTTTAAATAGGTGGGGATCTCGAGTCATTTACAGTTGCCCACAATCAAGCTAGTATGGTAACTTCAGATAATTGTTTGAATGAAACAACTGTGATCTTAACTTTAAAGGGAGGTTATTCTACATGCTTGCAAGCTCATCTTTGTGACTAACGAATCTGATTTATTTTCAACGCACACATAGCTTAAATAGAACTCCTGCAGCCGCTTTACTAATGTAGCTATCTGTAAAACGGTGTGGTGGTTAGCAGCACTGGAACTTTAAGGTATCCACCTTTGCAGTCCTCCACACTGACCTCTGGAGCATTTATATGCACTGTCCCTTTAGTTAGCCGGTGTATAGGGTTTAACCCCTCGGACTGAATGATAGCTGCCCGGTGACATTAGCATGGCAGCTAATGACAGCAGCGTGACAGCTAACGCGAGAGCTAGCTAGTATGTCTAAAAGTTGCCCCATATGAACAACGTTAAGCTAGCTAACCAGCAAACATCATAGCAGAGTTCTGCGGAATGAATGGACTCATTCAGCAGCAACATCCATGCACCAATAACGTTAGTCTGAGCAAGCTGTGGTCAACTTTTGTGCTAAAGTTGCGTTTACAGATGTGCTACCCATTCATACACAGACAGCATCCAGTAGGACCGGTTAAAATAAGCCATCAGCAACTTGCCCATTGATTCAGTTTTACAATGCTGACGACTCACTGTTGATAGCTAACTGGCTCAAGTGTAAGGTTAACAAATGTGTTGCGTTAGCTGACGGTTAGCAAAGTTAGCTTCATTGAGCTAGAAAGCTAATGATATGCTTATTGAATGATAAGCACAAAGTTAACTTATTCCAGAAAGGCTATTTAACTAACAGCCAGCACGCAGCACACCGGCACTAATAGTTTTCAGTTAGCATTAGCAGCACGTTAGCGGGCAGCCGGCAGGTGCTAGCTGGGAGCCTCTGACAGTGTGAACCACCAGCCCTTCCCAGGCTGCCACAATAGCAGCAGCTTCATTGAGCGCTCTTTGCTGAATTCAAATTACCTTGAGCTGAACACTTTCGAACAGCTGATGGAGATGCTGACGTCGCACATCGCCTTATAACTCGGATCCCGAGCCTTTTCTGTCTCGACGTGAAATGCATATATAGACAGCAGTATGCCCAATAGGCAAACGAGAAGCCTAGCTATTCTTTCCCACCGAGGGGTGGACACTCTCAGGACGGGCGCCGCCATCACTCTCTGGCCTAGCTGGAGACACGCAGAGAGTTCGCCCGAGACAGGACTGCGACGTGGAAAAGCGTAAGGACGTGCCACACCGTGAGGGGCGGGCCGTGCGCTGGAACAAAACAGAACATAAATACTGAGCAAGGCTTTCTATGCGGACACATTAGAGTCATCTTATATGCAAGCACAAAGTAGGCTCATACACATATAGACTGTATACAATGGGAAAATACGCACATTCATTGATCGATTAAAAATAAAATACATTTATAAACCAAAAACGCTCAGTCCTTTATCTAGCAGTAACAGTTATGTGTGATTTGTATTAAGGTGTGTGCAATAACTTTTAGAAATGGATACTTGCGACAACATTCGAGTAAGAGTAGACCCAATGTGCAATGTAAGTTATTACCAATTACTTTTACCATAACCCAAACAAGTGTCAGTTAATAAAGTGCTAAAAGTATTGCACGTTAGATACATTATTATAACAGCAATAGGATGTTATTTGGTTTGCCAAACATGCACACAGCACCCTTGTTGAAATACTCACGACACAGAAAAATACACACAAAGGCCTACTACTTAACAACATAATCAATACTATATGTTACAGTAATGTGAGGAAATACATGCATACTAGTGAAATAACAACGAACAAACTAACAATACATATCAATATTTCCCGACAAAAACAGTATACTGTGCTTATTACAGCATAGTCCATGTTGTTCCTTAGTCATAGCCACGATCACGTGACCCTCTGTATATAAACACTGGCTGGCTACAGCTGTTTACTCGCTGTTGAACTCGTCTGGTAAAATCTGCTGCATCCCATCTCCAAATGGCGACAGACATGGAAAGATTTGTTTTTTTCGAGGAAACATTTTACGACCAGTATGACTATTACAATCTGCTCGAGTTCTCGTGCCATGCGTGTGGCAAAGGGAGAACCAAGAGAGAAATCGAGCTGAACACAAACCGCCATTGCCCCGCTGGACACGAGAGGAAGATTGCAGAAAAATTTCATAACACCGAGCTGAAACGCAAGAGAACCAAGAGCTCCTCTTCTTGATGGATTTCCTCGACGTTTACAGGTAACAATGTGCCTTTGTAGTCTGAAAAAGTGTTTATTCTTGATGAAAAACACTTATTTATTCAGCAATTTCCTTGTCATGAAAAAAATGACCTTATAGGCTACCAAGATGTTTACATAACAAACAAGATCCTGCAGATTACTGTCATGAATGTGAGCTGAACAAACTGCCTTTGTGTCAGGGCCGTTCTAATCTATGCTTCGGAATTCAAGTTTGCTTTGTTCCACCTATTAGGTCAATCCGATAGATAGAGCCAAAAACAGATACAAAAATGTCCTTTCTGTATGTTTGTGAATGTGCAAAGGCTAGATAACTGTTATGGTGTTTTTGAAACAGTATTGGACATTATTTATATGACATTTTATGGACCAAATTATAAATTGACAAAATAATCTGCAGATGAAAAGACAAATGTTGTTGCAGGATATTATTTGTGATGACCATTTCTTCCAGATCCGGACACGAAGTTGGATTCCTGATGTTGACGATGGCCATGGTTCTCTGCCTTCCCTGTTCCTGACCCAGTGAATGGAGCGCTGTGACTTCGGGAACAATGCCCAGTAATCAGTCACACGAGACAGCTCTCCATACTCTGTAGCAAGAACCTGCTTGTCTCTCGCTGGTGCAAAAATAGTTTGTGTTGAGCAATATAGGTCAGTGGTGTGTGTGCTTGATAAATATATAGATATGTGTAGTCATTTCTGTGGGTGCAGGAGATATGATACAGTATTTGGATTGTGTCTTTTCTTTTGCTCATAACTGAATCCAAATAGACATTATTTGTATTTTAATTAAAACTATTTTAGTCATGTTAAGTAATGTGGATTACACGCTTGCGTCTGTGTTTTCTATAGTTTCTCTACAATCTGAATTTTGAATATATAATTTCTCCCTCCTGTCCATGTCCAGTGTTTTTTTCAGGGGGAATGAGGCCCTGCTCTGTTTACATGTTGTTTCCCAGATGAGTGTCATGCACATCCAGATACCGAGGTCATTAGGTCAAGGGACAGGTCTTTTTTTGTTTAAATACTTAAGCCTGCAGCCTAGAAAGAGATGTATTTTTGCATTCAAAATGTCATGATAGTTATTAATAATATGAAATATTTGGGGTGTCTCTCAGTTTAATTTGAGAAATGTATGAAAACAATGTTGGCCCTATCCAACAAGCCTTGGAAATAAATGTTTTACAAATGAAAGAATGGACAAATCAATTGTTAAATATAATAAATTATTAATTAAAAGGGATGATGAGCATTAATAAATATCAGTGTTTGGGTTTAATCTATGTTGACTCTTGGCTGAAACCCCAGGCGAAGTCACATGCTTTTATTTTGAAGGAATATCTCCCAACCGGAACTTATTTATTTAACTTCCTGGTCAACACCATAGACTGTATTGGTCAACACACATACGATCTTCTAGCACCAATTCGCCAGGATGCAGATATGCAGTGTGTGCAGCGAACATACGCCGAAATACAGATGTCCAGCCTGCAAAATAAGATAGTAAGTAACGTTAACTTAAATAACCATCTGTTAGCTAGCTAGCGTTCAATTAGCTTGTTTGGTTAAAGTGAGAAGACAGTTATAGGGGAAACAGTAGCCAATATTTTATATTGTTAAGGCACAAAACTGAGTATGTAGGTCGGACCTAAATTAAAAAAGTGTATACAAATAGCAGCCGTATCCACCACGTGCTAGTGTTGACATTTAAGCTAAATTAGGATTCAGTTACAGTGCCTTGAAGCATGGCTCGTATTCACTTTAAAACGTGGTAACACCTGTTAACAAAATAAGACAATGCATAAAGAAAAACATGCGCAAATGTAGAGAATATGCCACTAATGCAAAGTATTGTCCCTTAAAGTTACAAGTGAAAATCATTTTCGACATCAACAACACATGGGAGGGACGGCAACCCGCGTAAGTCAAAAACAGTTCGCGTTTTGAAGTCACTGGCTGCTTTTCCGCTGTTTTGAAGGATACATTCATTAACTCTGATTTTATTAGATTAGGAAACTTAACTCTTGTAAACATATGGAATCCCTTTTTTACAATGATAATATAGGCTGATAATAACATGCCTCAGCATTACGTTTGCTTTAATTCTGTTAAATAATAATAATAATTTCTATAAATATAAAATAATCCGTGTTAATCCGCATTATCATCCAATATAAAAAAAATAGTCCTATCATTTTAAAGAGTTATAAAATGCAAAAAACTACATTGATATATATTAATGCAATTATGAATCACTTAAAATATTATTTTATTAATTTCATACTTTTGCAATGTTTCAAACTTTTAAGACATTCAGATTGATGTAGAAAAATGAAATGCTGCAGATTCAGGAAAGAATAAACACAATGGAACACATTTATATACAATTTGTTTATAATATACTATAAAACTGTGTACAGAATGTACTTGTTACCTTGATTCAGTTTTGCACATAGGTAAATATTATGATCATACTTGTGTTTTTAATTCTTGTTTTCTTTCTGTTTCAGTTGTTCACTTGGCTGCTACAAGAACCATAAAGGTATAGGAGCTGGATTTCAGTATGTTAGTGAAGTGCTGTTCAGACAAGCTGTGTTCATTCTCATAGGACGTATTCAAATGCTCATCATTCACTGATCAACCTTCTAACTTTATGTGTCTGCAGACTCTTGCCTTCCTGTCGTTTCTGAAGTTACTGAAGCTAAGGATTCTTTCTACACAGGTATGGCCTTCTCATTCCTGTGAAAGTGTGTCCATATCCGCCCAAAACAGCACAAATCAAATATATCATAAATAGGTGGGGGTGGGCAATTTAGTAAAACTCTAAATTCTGTTATTACAGTGCTTATCGTCTCATGCAGTGTTAAATAGTTTCTTATTTCATCTTTATTTATTTGATAAAAACATGTGTAACAATTCCAGAATTAGGTAAAATTACAAACTACATCCATAGTCCTTATCTGATAATAAACACATAAGTGTGATAATCTATTGTCACCAGGCTGTGCATCCCACTGTTTGTCTTTTTTCAAGTTGTCAAATGATGCTTTACTCTCCCAGCACAAATCAAATATAAAAGAATAGGTAGTGGTGGGCCATTTAGACGGAGTGCTTATGGTCTCAAGCCATTTTAAATTGTTCAACTTATTTAATCAATAGAAACAGTTACTGTATTTAAACAAATAAAGAAAACCTGAGCATTTGACTCTCTTCTTGTTAGTAGTCAAACGTTTTTCTCATTTGAAGTCACAGCAAAGAAAGGCTGTGAGATTGAAATACGCATTTAACTTCACAATTGCTTCCCTGTGTTTGCAGAGAGGACTGAGGAGGATCTTCTGCATGAAGAGGACATCATCGACAAAGTGCCTCTAGAGAAGCTCCAGCTGTTAGGTACTAATCCAACAGAACCTCTCGTCTTCTCTGCATTTATTAGCGGTGTCCCATGTCAAACGTTTCTCCATCTAACACTTGCATTTACTCACGGCCACATACATTTCCAAAAAAGCCTTGGGTAAATCATGTTTTCTTATGTCTCTACAGGTCAGTCCAATGAGATGAGAGATCTTCTTTACAACCCCCACCTGAGACAGCTGCTGCGCTCCATCGACAGCGCAGACGTTAAAGATGAGGCGATGAAGGCGGCCATGCAGGAGCCTCTGTTTGTGGAGTTTTCTGATCAGTGTATGAAGCTAACAGCCAAAGGACGCGATGATTCATAAAATCACCCCTGCTTTAGTTTGTCTCTCACATCATTTTTCATTATATTTTTGTATAAAGTCTTGGAATAAGCACGTGAATCAACTCTTATTTTCTTTTTTTTTTATGAATATAGTGTTTAAATAAATGCTAAAATGTTTTAAAACAATTTCAATTCCTGAGTCTACAAAAAAGGCTTCATAATGTAGTTTGTTGTTGAATTGCTGATCACAAGTAAGCACACATTCAGATGAAAGCAAAATGCATAAAGTTTATTTCAATAAGTCATTTAAATATTCATATTTCAAGTTTTCCACATTGATCCCTTGGTACCACTGGCAAGCAGTATACATATATAAGTAAATCAACAGCTGGAAACAGGTTAAGACATTATTTAGTAATCAAATTAAGATGAAATATAACAAGATATCCTTTTAGCCAAAAGCTTAAAAGGATATTAAACATCAATGTCAGTTCCATGAATACAATTTTGTCACGTTATTATAAAATATATTTTGAAAAAGAATATAGCAAAACTTGATGGCACTTATGTTTATTCTCCGACACAAAACATTAGAGTACAAAGACTTTGGTATTTTTCTGCAGCAAATCCACAGTGTTTTGGCCAGACATTTGGCAGATGTGCGAATAAGAAAGACCCTTGTCGAACAAAAAGCAGCATTTTGAATAAACCTGGGTTTATTCTTTCCCTGTATCACATAAGTGACGTTTCTGCTTGGTCATTAATTGTGTGTCTCTAGCTGCATATTAGCAGATGTGTAGTTTTAATGTGCAAGATGTGCTTTACGTGTGCAATACTTTACTTTTTTAAAGCATAATTTACTTTCAAAATAAATGCTGGTTCTAATAACCGGATAATCTGTGCATCCGACCTGTGTTTATACACCCAAAATAAATCTATAAAAATCACACAATCACCCTTAAATAAATAAGCACATTTATGATTTGAGTGTTGATTATAAGAAAGGCACTTGTCAAAGGCCAAATACTTCAATCAGCAGTCAGATGTTCTGAAGAGGCATCAAGGAGACAAAAACCTGAAGTCTGGTTTTTTGAAAGGTTTTAAGTTTGTGCTATGTATTTACAGTTCTCCAGGCAAGGACATATTGGTAGGTATTGGCAGCTGTGTATAACACAGAGAGAGATCAACTTTGGCATCATTTAAAAAAAGATGAAGCTGAAAATGGTCCCTTTAAACACATTTGAACACAATGCCAGAATAAAATGTCAGGTTTGTTCCCTCTGTGTCACATTATGGAAGAGCAGATGCTTCACTGCAAAAGCACCTCTGTGCCAGATTATCCTTAATCTGTGTGCAAGTAATCAGACATTAGTGTTCAGCGAAAGGAGGAGCTCTTACAATGTTTTCTCGAGCAGGATGGCGTTGAACCCGCTCATGTCGCTCTTCATGTCGGGCTTCCTGTCAGCGTAGAGGAGTGGAGACCGGCGGTAGTGCAGCTTTACAGATCCCTAAGTAGGAAAGAAGACTTAAATCGTAAGAATCCACCAATATATTAAAAAAACTTGAGATTGGGAAGAATTGGCGTGGGTGTGCCCTCACCTTGGGTTGGGCCCGTATGGAGGCGAGCTCCTGCGAGTACTGGTTGGGCTCCAACTTGTACTCCCCTCTCCTGGAGGGCAGGTTGAGGGAGGCCATCACAGACACCATCTTCTGGAAGCCTGTGGCTGTAAGAGACATGGTGATGGACGGGGCCGAGGCCAGAGCCAGGCCCAGGGGCCAGCCTCGCACTGAGACGGGCTTCTGGATGAAGGAGAGCTGCACGGAGCCCCGCTCCCTGATGATGGCGTTCAATTGTGGCACGTCCGCCTCCAGTAGGTCCTTTGCATCGTCCAGTTCTGTCTCAGCCAAGGCTTTTAATAGTGCCTGCCACATAAAACCATAAATACACATTTGTTTACTTAATGGTGACAATTTACATCAATAATCATTGTGAATGTAATCTAATAGGCTTTTTGAGGTTCCTGTTTAGATTTAGTCATGCGCTTCTATAACAGCCGCAGACTTCGGAAGCCTTGAGAGGAAAAAAGTCAGATCTACATTTTCATGATGTAACAGAATGTTCACATCTAACGCTGTCATCACGCTGCTAAGAAGGCTTGTAAGCCAATAATATAACAACGTGGGTTTCACATGGTATATGTCATCAGCGATCAAAAGTCTTAGTTGTTGCCTGTTAGTGTGAAAAATACTAATAGGCATTTGTATTTTGAGGAGAGATAAATAAAATACATGGGTGGTGTTGAAATAAAGAAATGCATGACAAACTAGAAATAAATAATCTGAGGTTTTATTTTATTTATTAAAACATGATTTCTGAATTATTGGCATGAAGTCGGAACATTTTCTGACACTAAGCTAAAGGATTCGACAAGGCAGTTGTTACGAAGAGCCACTGTGGTCACCCTCTGCGTTAAGGTTTCCAGATTAATCAGGAGCGTTATTAGGTAACATTGACAGCCTTAATTCATACAACTTGGAACAAGAAAACACAAGATGTGATATATATTCTTTTCAAATCTCACCCTCCACATCCTCCAGGTGTTCTGGATGACTGCAGCTGCTCTGTTCCACCTCTGGAGCTGCCTCCTCACCAGCCAGGACCGCACCACTGCAGGAGACATAAAACACACACACATCTAACCAAGCCATTCATTCTGCAGGTTTAATCCGTGCATTGTGGGCACAAGAGAACATCTGTCATGAACAGTTCATCAGATGAGATCCTGTTGGCCAGACATTCAGGTCAAAGCCAGCAGACTGGCGTGAGGCCACAGAGATCAACTGATTCCACTCAGGAGCATTCAAATAGTTCACCTGCTTGGATCCGAGTGGCAGACAGCAGGCGGGCGCAGCGTCTGCGGCGCTGGTACCGCAGCCAGCAGCACTGAATGGAGAAGGCACACTGACACAGGACCTTCTTCCTCTGGTACTCCAGAAAATCTAGCTGTGAGACAAAAACCAGGGCAGGTCAGTACTCCAAATACACCAGAGAAATCCCCAATGTATGACCACATTGATAAAAATGCATGACACATTTGACCAAATAAGCAAATTACTTCTTCATGTTATACACCTCTCTAAATGATGTGTGAGGAAGACATCTAAACACTGACCATCAACTGAGTGAGGAAAACTTTAGTCCTCCCGCAGTGAACCCATGAATTGTGTTTTCCACTGTTATCTTTGCACAGGGGGTCGAACGCCTCGTGCTGTGACACGACGCTGAGGAGATTCTCCACCCCGCACCGAAGAATGTAGTCAGCCCCCGCATCTAAGACAGAGGAGTCAGAACACAGTGAACAACACAAGACAGACTTACAGTTAGAGCAGAGCAGCACTACCTGTCTTTGGATTTATTTCCAACACATTGTGTTTGTCAGTGAGTCATCAGAATCAACAGCAGCACTTATAGGATTACTCTGAATTTAAAAAGGGCCATAGAGTTTTTCTCTCCCCTGCCTGAACCGCTTCAGTTTGACTCTTTGTTTACTTCTGTCACATGGTTTGTGATAGGGTAAGGGTCGGGACATGTCTAAGCCTTTGACCAATTACATAATAGCTAACCAATCAGAGCAGACTGGGCTCTGGTTTCAGACAGAGGGTGAAAAGAGGTGCTGTTGCACAGGCAGTATGAGAAAAATAAAGAGCTTTTTGAACATTAAAGCATGGAGACATGACACAGCAAAGGCACAAAATACAAATATGAACCTTAAAAAGGACCATAATAATGAAAATGTCCAATCTGCTTACATTTGGCAGCATTCAATAAGAATTAGCAGGCTCCTTTACCAACATTGCTACAGCTAAGGCTGCATGCATTTGGTCATAAATCAGACTATTGGATTACTTACAATTTAGGTAGGTAAAACCAGGGGATCACCAGAGGTTTTGTAAATGATCCTGAGGAGAACATGAATTTTGCACCAAATTGTATGGCTATCCAAAAGCGTTTAAACATTTGACTAAAATTCTCAGGTGTCCACATCATGGTGGCGCAAAAACAAAGAAAATGGTATAACCAATGTCAGTCCAATAAATCCTTTGAGGATCATGAAAGCAATCCATCCAATAGTTGTTGAAATATTCCAGTTTGGAACAAAGAGCCGGACAGAAAAACATTGTAATCCCTGCAAAAAGCAGCTGATGAAAAGAAGAGTACAAGTACAAGTCCAATCAGGAATCCGTACAGAAACAAGAAGCAACATGCAAAGTGAGCTGTGGCATTCAGAGGGGCAAGCATTTACCTGGAGGGTTCAGAAGAAGTTGCTTATTTTGTTAGATAGTTCCCTTGTTATACACCAAATAGGAAAGTCCCCAGGAGAGTAGAGAACTGAGGGTCTCATTTACTAAGAGGTCTAATGAAGGAAAAGGAGAATAAATCAGTAGACCTAAGGAGAGGAAATACATGCACTCTTTGTCCACAGTTAACATGCAGACATTGAGCTGGAATTGATCCCACAACGAACTGTACTTACCAATAGAATGGATGCCTGACTTGACATGTGAATATTTCGCAATCAGTCCATAACGTTGCATGAAACCTTTGAAGGGAATTCTGTAGAACAGAAATCACAAGTCAACAAAAATTCAAGAGAAACGAAGCAATACATTATCAAACACAAATATTTGTCCTCTTACCTGTAGAGCTATTTATGAGTATAGTTTGTTTTAATGAGAGTTGACGAGTGTTGGAAATATCAAAAGCAATGTCTTTTTCCAGAAGGAGACCTTGTTGTGAGCAGTTTTATGTGGGGACTATTTTCTTTATACCAAATGACACCCCAGAGAAGGAAAAATGTATCATTGACCAATTTTATTAAATAATGATGGAGAAATCAGAAGGTTGTACATCATTTCCACAGATTAGAAAACTGACTGAAGGCGATCTACTGTAACTTTTATGTACACTTTCCCTGGAAAAATGTTTCCCAATTTCAAAATGTTGGCCATTGTTGTGGCGCTGCCAATTCAGTCGTCTGTCCCAGAAAAACTAACTACCTTATCACCGTACAGAAGGAAACCGGCATCTCCTCATGGACGAGGGGAGTACGCTCACACAGGTGCAGTACGGTTGATATCTCCAACACTCAGCAACTCCAATCAAAACACACTAGATTTATAAGTAGCTAAGATAAACAATATGTATTATTGATTAGGGGTAAACTGTGCCTTTTAGATAGTTACAAAATGAACAAAGGTCACCTTATTGGAAAGCCAGCAGCACTTATATGAATAGTCTCCACAATCCCACAGGCTTCCAGCTGCATGATGACCTGAAAGCAGACAGAGAATATCCATTAGAACAGGTATCTCGTGTGAAAGTGCAAAGCATTGCCTCGGATTGTTGCCATGGTGTACCTCCTCCTTTTTGAAGGTCAGCGGCTTGCAGTCAGGGTTGGGTTTGATGCAGCGAGTGTAGTGAGGAGTTGTGGTGTGGAGGATCCTCATCAGGCTCTCCAGAGAGTTCTACCATGAGACATTAAAGGCATCAGTGCCATGACAACACCCTCCCAGAGAGAGCTCTACAGACAAGCTAAACAACCCTTGTAATAAAAGCTTTAATTGGCTCCCACCTTGAACTTGGAGACCACAGTGACTTTACTGAGCCCCTTGCTGGTAGGAATCTCAGTTTCCTTGTCGGTGAAGATGTGGTGAAGCAGAGAGTTTTCAGACTTCTGCAGCAGTTTGATGAGCTCTGGTGGCACCGGGTCCTAAAACACAGAATCCAGCAGAAGATGAATGGATGGGTAGGCCTGTCGCGATAAGCAATTCATTGACTTATCGTACGATAAATAAAAATGAGCTCGATAACTTTTCTGAGCTCGATAAATTGCCGTTTACATGCGTGTTTGTTTACATAAGGATGTGACCAGCATTTTAGCCAGGCACACTGTGTCTGCCGGCCAGGCGCGCCGGGGCTCACACACAGCCAGGTCAGGACACTCCGCGTGCAGCAGTGCAGCCAAATGAATAATATAGAGACAAGCAGGAGACAACGTGTGACTTACTCGAGGGGAATTTGAAGTTAAATGGAATTGGTTGCAAAACCAATATCACATCTCCGGTGTGGGAATATTTTGAATTTAAAGGTCCCATGTCATGGCCATTTCTACTGATCATATTTCCATTGTTGAGGTCTACTAGAAAAGACTTAAATTGTGTAATTTTCCAAAATCACATTGGTTTCTCATACAGCATCTCTGTATAGTATGTGTATTCACCAGTTATTCACTCTGTCCTAAACGGCTTGTTGGAGCTCCTGCCTGTGTGAGCCCAGTGTGCTCTGATTGGTCGGGACGTTGCGAGGCTCGCTGCGAGGCTCATTGCGAGGCTCGTTGCTGCGAGGAGCGGACAGGTTTCCGGGTCGGCGATAGAGCGAGAACAAGCGAAACTCATCCTGAGCACACACAAACACTCACAGCCGAAGTAAAAACAATAAGTGTGGCTTGATATTGATAAGAAAAAGGTTTATAACGCTGTGAGAATGGGATCGCGGAGAGCATTTCTCCGCGATCCCAACTCGTCTATTACCAGCGTTCAGGGAGCTCTATGCAAGTCAATGGGGACTCCCTGTTAGTTAGCAGGGATCCTGGTGTGTGAGGTGCTCCATTTGGGCCAAGTGTTCACACGTCACAGAACCCAGGAAGCAAACAATGGAAGATGAGAAATCTCCAACGAGGCGTTCTGGGGCAGCATAGACAGGTCTTTTCTGTGTTAGAGTTTTACTCGCTACAGGGTGTTCTTTGAGGGTTTGTGACTTTGCAGAAAAACCTTCATAACACACAAGGGGACGGGTAATAACCGGAAAAGCATGACATGGGACCTTTAAGACAAATCAACGAGGCGAACCTACGGACTTGAATGAGCCGTTATGTCGCATTTGTTTTAAAAAGGTAGCAACACGACCAACCTTAAACTGCACCTGAAACACAACCACCCCATTCCGTTTTCCCAGCTGGGAGCAAAAACGGCAGCTGGAGATGGAGAGCCCCCACCTTACCGACAGTTTACAATCAAAGATGCAGTTGCCCGAAAATGCAAACATGTTGGTGTTCCTTGCTCGAAATCTTTGAATTACAGATTTGGATATGGCCTGTTGAGGCATCTGGGTCTTTGTATGGACAGTGGACTGTACACTTGACTGTTGTTTTGCTTTCGAGACAATGTGTGCTCATATATATATATATACAGTGCATGACATTAAGGATTTTGGGAGATGGCCCTGTGGGCCATCTAAGCTAATTTACAGATGGCCCTGAGCCCAATAGAGATTGCCCTGAAAAATGCACGCGGACGAAATGACGTACGAAGGGTTTGGGGGGCCTCCCCCTAGAACATTTAGATTGTTGCAGGTCTTAGATGCCGTCTGGTTCTCTAGACTGAATTATAAGATGAACCACCACAATATTATATTGTACAATTTCTTCATTTCACTTGTTTGTTTGTTCTTGTTTGTGTTTGCTCGCTTGCATGCCCTGCATAGCTATAAGAAATACTTAAGTTGTTGGTCAAGACACTTTCCATCTGATGAAGGCAAATGCCTTCCCAGATGTAAAAAAGTAGAAAACATTACATTCAGTTATAACTGCCAAAACAAAAAAAATGTTTGTAATGTTATCTACTGTGAGTTGGTCGAACGAATGCCTCCTCATCCGGAAGCTGACCGAGCAGACCCGAGCAGCAGTCGAGAGGAGCCGAGCGCATCCGCGAAGCACACAAAATGGCGACGTCAGAGTTCCCGTTAGCCGGCAAATCTAAATCTCTTCGGTCAAAGCGTCCGGTCAAAAATAATTTCCCTTTAGCGCAATACCGCTTCAGTTGCGCCACTTATGTGACAGACAAGAAAGTATGTGACAGACAAGAAAGTATGTGACAGACATGAATAGTCCATTCTAATGTCTAACACTTAATGTGGAGAAAGAGATGTCCTGTATGGGTTGATTGTGCGTTGATCTGTTGGTAATGCCTCGAGGTTCCGGTGGGCATGTAAACAAATGCATAACGCTGCGCTATACTTTGCGGCCTCACCCAGTTGCATAGCGACGCTTATTGTTTAGGTGTCTTTTAATAAGCAGGTAGTCATATCATTAGCTAGAACTAGCTGGATCTGATCGATATGGACATAAACGTGAGTGAAGTCTAATCTGACGGGAGAGAGAGATCAGCTGCTGCTGACGAGTCGACACGCAGCTCTGCATGATCACATGCAGCGGTGAGCGGACAAAACACACACTTCAGGTTAGAATATCACACGTAGCTATTTTAATTACCTCTCAAACTACCTAAACTAGTTATAGATATGTTTAGTTTTACTGTCGGGTCACTCATTACTGATCCGAGAGCTGCATGATACTGGCATAATAGATTGCCCGATCGGGTAACCAGCAGGTGAGGCTTCATTGCCCGAGCTAAATACTAGATGACCCCGGGCCATCGGGCAGTCCTTAATGTCGAGCCCTGATATATATATATATATATATATATATATATATATATATATATATATATATATATATAGCCACCGTCACCCATCTAGCTATCGCTGTTGAAAGCTTGCTGCTCGTAGACGCCGTGTCCAGGCGTCTCCCCGGCAAACTTTCAAGCGTGGTCTGCTGCAAGCGGGCGGCAGGAGCGGGGCTGTCAGCATCAGCTGTGTGCTTGGCTTGCTGTTTAAAACACCTTTTTTTGTCTCCATATCTCTCGCTAGAATCTCCCACCATCCAAGTAACAACAACAACAACGTCAAGCCTTTGGGCTCTGAAACTACGGGGCGGGCCGAGGACAAATACACATGCGTTAATCGCACGTTAAAATAATTAGTGGCGTTAAAAAATGTTTGCGTTATTAATGCGTTAACTTGACAGCCCTAATATATATAAATATATAGATAGATACAGAGCGCTCTGTTTTCCAGCCTGAGTCTATTTAATTTATTATTTTGGTTGTGTGTGATTTAATTTTTTATAAATTGTATTTATTTGTTTTATTTATTATATATCATTTATATATTTTAATATTATTTCACATTTCATTTGCAATGTTGCTTGTTCAATAAAAAGTTATGTTTGAAAGGATGTACTTGAATTATTATTATCATTATGTCAGTGGTCTAAAAAGGTCTTATTATTAGGACAATATTATCGTTTATCGCAATAATTTCCGGGAAAATGTATCGTCCAACAAAATTCATTATCGTGACAGGCATATGGATGGGATCTGTGGTCAACTTTCCAAACCCTATTTAAATGTTTGTTTTTGTACACACCTTGTTTTTCTCCACCATCCCCTGTATCTGGTAGGCGACTTGGCCAGCGTAATGGGCCACAGTGAAGTGCGGCTGTTTGCTGAACTTGTCCCAGCTGATGTTGGCATTATTGCTGAGTTCCTTCTCCAGACGCACCTTCATTGTCTTTGCGTCTGAGGCACGATTAAGACGACTCTCCTGTAGCAGAATGTAAAAAGTTACATATTACATAGTCAACCTACTTACTTACTATTCCACACTACCCACTGCCTCCGTTTTTACACTTTGTAACTTTGTTTTAGAAATATTATATATAAATCAAATCTTACTAACGTTACGAACATAAGATACATATATTTAATGAGACAAAAAGAAAGTGCAGTCCAGAAAATGACTGCACTGAAACAAAGGTTTAAAGAGCTAAAGGATGTTACTTCTATTTCATTCTATTAAAAACAAATGACATTGGCTTTAATGTGAAAGAGTAAATCCATAAAAACTAGTAAGATCATTTCCAACCATCCTTCTTTCTAGATAATGATTTAAATGAAATTCTGAAATGTGTCCAAAACATGCTGACAATTAAAAAAAAAAAGGAAAACTTGGTGATTTAAGAAGAGGAAGTAATGACTGTTGTTTTATTCACTCTGAACTGTGTCTTTTTATGCAAGCTGTTCTGTTGAAAACTCTGATAGTTTAGAAACAGCTTACCTCGTTCAGAAGAGAAAACACACTGACAGGACTTCCCTCCAGAAGATCCAGACAGCTCTGGTTGTCTTGATATTTGACAAAGGACCACTCCAACCCCTCAGACACGTATTCCTCCTGGAAGAAGGAGAGATTCATATTATTATTCAAGCACAAAATACACAAAGACGTTTTCACATGATGCAAGGTAAAAGTGCTTCTATTTACAGAGACTTCATAATGACTGGAGAAGCCTCCTGAATGTCTGAGGCCTGCACCTAAAGGGCAGTGAAACTACGGACCTCCTGAGATCAGGTGCATGAAACGGAAAACTGAAATCTGTACCTGCTGAGCTCTGAGATAATGAGCCACAAAGTGCTGCTGCAGCTTCTCATTGGCATAGTTGATGCACAGCTGCTCCAGGTTATTGATCTGGAAACACTCAAACCCGTAGACATCTAGAACTCCTGGAGATCACAGCGAGGGGAGGAATTTGTGAGTTTATGAACAGAAACTGGGTATTAACTAGGGATGCTCCGATCGATCGGTCACCGATTGAGATCGGCCGATACTCACTCTCTACCGATCGATCGGTGCTCTCTAAACATGCCGATCGCGAGAGCATGACGCATGACGTAAAATACATGACACTTTTCTCTGTGTGCGGCAAAACAAGCTCGTCAAAATGGCTTCACCGGTCTGGCATTATTTTAAGGTGTCCGAAAAAGACAGTAAAATAGCGATATGCAACGTGTGTGAAGCAGAAATCCTGCAGCTCCGCCCGCCGGACCGGTGAGCGGAGCGAAACACACAAGAGTTAGACCTAACACACTTAGCTATTTTATCTACCTCTGGAACAAGCTAAACTAGTTATTATAAATATATGTATTCTTCACTGTCGGGTCACTCATCATTACTGGATCAGTGAGCTGCATGAGATACTGACAGGCTGTCAGGAGAGAGAGAGGGGGAGAGAGGGGGGAGAGAGAGAGGGAGAGAGGAAAAGAGAGCGCTTCCGCTCATTTCTCCCGTGTTATTATCCAAAGTGAATGTAAACTTGAATAATGTACTTCATTTGAATGTAATAATTATGTTGATTGTTGTTTGTGGAAGCTCCAGTGAATGAGCCCCATTAACTGAGTTTAAACATCACTTTAAATGGAAGATTTAAAGTGATGTTTAAATCTTCCATTTAGGCCCCGCCCACTCGATCGGATATCGGTATCGGCCGATACTGATTCCGGCGATCGGCCCCGAAATTGGCGATCGGAGCATCCCTAGTATTAACATTTACAAATAAATGTATTTATATTCAATAAAGTACGAGACGATAAGGCTTTTACCTATAAAGTTGCACCATGTGGATTTGTCTGCACATATGCTGTTGTTGATGAATGTAACCAGCCATTCAAATAACCTGTTGGTAAAAAAGAGACAATCTCATACTCTTTCTCCAAAGCATAGAAATCCCTATCAATATAAAGAGTGATTAACAGATACATCTTCCTCACTGTTTATTGTAAACAACAGGGCATGATGGTTTCACATTCGAGTGTTTGGTGGAAACGAGGAGTGCTCCAGGACAAAAACAAGTTCCTGCATGACCAGTCCTTTGAAACATTGCTGTGTTATCTGATGTCAGAGTCATTCTTACTGTGCGTAGATGACCTTGGCCAGGCAGTCTCTCCTCATGCTGCACTCGGCCCGGCAGCAGGGCTTGAGGACGCTCTGCTTCCCCGCCTTCAGCGTCCTCACTCTCAGACTCATGAGAAGCTCCTCAGCGGGGACACACAGCAGATCAGCAGCCCTCTGCAAGAAGTCTGAAAAAGAGCAGGAGTGGAAGGCAGACTGGTTACTTCGTATTTTGTATATCGGTTCTGGTTTGTTCAGAGTTATAGTCTACAGAAGCAATGAGAGGCTAGAGAAGAATATAAACTATATTGTTTCATTTACTAAGTCCGATCTAAAATGTGTTTATGACTTAAGAACAGGTAAACAGGGCTTTCCAGTTCAATCGTTCTCATTTCCACATCTGTAAAACAGTAATAGTTTTGCCAGGAACTATTTTTTGCAACAGAGGTGATTGTTGCTGTAATACTCATTTTAGGACATTTGAAATAATTTCCTGGCAAAACTTTTCACCTGTTCTTAGGTCCCAGACCTTTCCTTCAAAAAGAAATCCCTTGAGCATCATACTATATTTATGTCAGCCTAAGATTTTTAGACAATGGACATTTTAAGCACATAATAACTGGAAAAGAACAATAAGATACCTCAAACTAAATCATTTTCAATACCTTTAGATTGCTCATCTAGGTCACAAGGCTGTGATTCATCCATTGAAGAGAAATTCAGATTCCCCAACTGCAGAATCCCTGATAGTATCTGTAATGCATTAAAGAGAAATTAAACTATATTACAAAGAAATAAAGAACATTTAAAAAAATGTAACTGAAAAAGATGATGATGTAACACTGTACTTTAGCCCCACATTTAGCATGCATAAGCAGTTTATAAACAATGAATACATTGTGTGTATTCAACCACACCACAATGTAGTTGTTTGCAGAAATAATAATATAAATGTGTGTTCATTTGATGGTTATAATTGTTAACAAATACCCCACATTCATTTAACATTGAAAATGTCCTTTATCTACTTAGAAATACATTAAAGTGTATTATTAACAAGCCAATAAGTGTTTCCTTTGAGGAGTCCCTTACCCTGAATAACTGCCTCTGCCTCTCTGCTTTGATGCCCAGATGAACCATTGCCTCGACAGTCTCCTGAAAGGAATCCTCTATAAAAAATAACATGAAGAAAAGTTTGTTGTAAGAATCACTAAACATAAACATAAAAAAACATAATAAAAACATATGCAAAGACCAACCCTCGACTGTTTTTTCTGAATTTGGCAGCCACACAAAATGTTTGCCACATGGCATCTTCCACTCCTTCCTCTGCTCATCTGTGGCCCCCTTCAGCATCTGGAAAACAATAATTCTATGATACATATGATTGTGTTAACATTAAATAATCAAGTAATAATCAAGCAGCCCTGTTAACTCACCTGATAGAAGATGTGGAAGTTCCTCTCATTAGCCGGTTGGCAGGCCACCCTGGTCTTCTCCAGCAAGTACGTTTGTACAGACGCCCCCACTAACAGCTGACGCCTTCATATACAAAATAAAAAGTTGGAGAGATTAAACCAACTGAACCAATGATGATGAAAAAGAAAGTGCAGCATGGTCAGTTGTGAGCACCTGTCTAACTGGAGCTGGATGTACTTTCCAAAGCGACTGCTGTTGTTGTTCCTCAGAGTACAGGCATTGCCTACAGCAAGGGAAAAGTGTGGTTATTTACTGACTCAGATTGTTATTATAAGTATCTGACAACATTACAGAGAAATAGTGGCACCAGGCCGAAGTGCTCAAGCTCAAAACTGGTCCAATTTAAAAAACTGTTGTGGCCCATTACTCACTTGGACACAAAAACATGGGTAAAAGGGTTCAAGTTAAACAAATATATTTTCCTTTAATGTGACACCAGGGGGGTGTACTACGAAGCAGGATTTTCTCTTAGCGAGCTGACTTCAGGGACAACTCGGAGTTTCCGGTACTACGAAGCGGGTTCTCTTTTTAGCAGGCTAGATCTCCATGGTAACTTATGCTGTGCGGCTAACCTGGTCCCGACCAGGGGGGTATACTACGAAGCAGGATTTTCGTTTAGCAAGATAACTTCTGGGATTTCCGGTACTACGAAGCTGGTTCACTTTTTAGCGGGCTAGATCTCCATGGTGACTTATCCTGGAACCTAGTCTGTGCTCCGAAGCAGGATAGGTTCCAGGATAAGAGATCAACTCAGCGAAAGCACCACGCCTGCTGACCAATCAGAGCTCAGTGTGCGGAGGAAATACAGGAAAGACGGCCGGCCAAAATCACCGACTGTGTGAACGTGAAAATGAATAGAACATCACCTCCCATCTTCAGAGCAATCTGACTATTATAACTATTAGGCTATGTTAAGAAAGCTTAATTAAATATCTGCCACAACATAAGTAACCGGATCAAAGTAACATTACGTTGCCTACAGTCAGCGGCACTGTGAGTGCAGACGTCGATGTGTCCCATTATCATTCATATCACATCATATCACATCATAATGTATTATTTCCTTATCTGAGTCAGCTGAGCCGTATCTGGCTGTGCAACACTCAGTGTCACATACTGTATGCATAAGTATTATTTTAAGCAACACATTAAGTTGACGAAACACTCGAGTCAAATGTAATTAAAGTCAGATCCACTCGTGTCTTGGACGGGGGTGATATCATAAACCTGTTAATGTACGCATTCAAACGCTTTTTCTTTTACCAGCTGTATTCACCTTGCAGGTGCAGCTCTGTGGCTTTTATCCTGGATAAAGTGGTTAAGTCATGGATGTTTAAAGTTTAACTTCTTCATATTTGTCTAACATTATAGACTTTTCATTCAGGAAGTATGACGCTGCGCTGTCAGTACGCTTCTCCATGTTTGTGATTGGTCGAATGCTCCAGATACCACCCCTTTCATGTGAACGCGCACCTAACTAGATAGGACACGGCTGGCTTGAGCGAACGAGTTGATAGCCAGCGTTGTAGGACAGTTTAGCGAGAGCGGCTTCGTTTTGGATTAAGTCAACCGGATAACTCAAAACATATCCAGGATAGGTTGAACTAGATTCGTAGTATACCCCCCTGGTTAGGTTGCAGGCTAAGAGCTCAACTCAGTGAAAGCACTGCCTGCTGACCAATCAGAGCTCAGTGTGCGGAGTTTAAAGCGATCAAGTCATATTACAGGAGAAAGGAAATACAGAAAAGCTGCCGTTGTAGGAAAGACGGCCAGCAAAAATCACCGACTGTGTGAACGTGAACATTAATAGAATATCACCTCCCATCTTCAGAGCAATCTGACTATTATAACATTAGCGTTAAGAAAGCTTACTTAAATATCTGCCACAACATAAGTAACCGGATCAGAGTAACATTAAGTAGGCCTACAGTCCGCGGCATATCACTTCATAATGTATCATATATTTTCTTATCTGAGTCAGCTGAGCCGTATCTGGCCGTGCAACACTCACAGTGTCACATATGTATGCAGAAGTATTATTTTAAGAAACACATTAAGTTGACGAAACACTCGAGTCAAATGTAATCAAAGTCAAATCGTGTCTTAGACGGGGCAGTGATATCATAAACCTGTTAATGTACGCATTCAAACACTTGTTCTGTTCCCAGCTGTATTCACCTTGCAGGTGCAGCTCTGTGGCTTTTATCCTGGATAAAGTGTTTAAGTCATGGATGTTTAAAGTTTAACTTCTTCATATGTCTAATATTATAGACTTTTCATTCAGGAAGTATGACGCTGCGCTGTCAGTACGCTTCTCCATGTTTGTGATTGGTCGAATGCTCCAAATACCACCCCTTTCATGTGAACGCGCACCTAACTAGATAGGACACGGCTGGCTTGAGCGATCCACTTGATAACCCGCGTCGTAGGACCGTTTAGCGAGAGCGTGTATGTTTTGGATTAGGCCAACCGGCTAACTCAAACATATCCAGGTTAGGTTGAACCAGCTTCGTAGTACAGGCCTCAGAGATCACTCACCAAAAGCCTCCATGATGGGGTTAGAGTCCAGCACCCTCCTCTCTATCCTCTCCACGGTGTCCTGACTGTTCACCACAGAGGAGGCGGCAGCCACAGTGGCATAATATTTCATCAGGCAACGAGACGTCCATGTCTATAAAGAAACAAATCACAGATCCACTTAGGGTGCATTCACACCTAATAGTCCGCTCTCTGGTGTGCACCAGACCACAGTTTGTTACATTGTTTCATTTTTCAGAAGGTTCGGTTTGCGTTCACACGGGCAAAACTCAAACGGACTATAGACTTTAAACACAAGTCATGTGCACGGAAATGCTGTTCAACCATTGGTCAGACATTAAGGGGGTAAAAACGCAAATCCCGGCAATTTCTACCGGAGCCTCCGCCATGGAGCATCGGCACTTTCGGCAGGTTATTCTCATGCTGCTGTTAATCTGGAGATCAACAGACACTAGCGGCCCGCGCATATGATTATATAAATCAGACAACGTCCGTTAAAAAACATTATAGCACATATAATGAGAGACGTTCTGCAGTAAGGATGGGCGTTTCACCGACGACAGGTGTTCTTACCGACACATGCATTTCCAAACATTTGGTCTACCTATGTTGCAAATGTATTATCTTTTCAATTTACACACGGCATCTATGGCACGTCTGTCCGTCCTGGGAGAGGGATCCCTCCTCTGTTGCTCTCCCTGAGGTTTCTCCCATGTTCCCTTTAAACTGTGGGTTTTCTTCGGAAGTTTTTCCTTGTACGATGTGAGGGTCTAAGGACAGAGGGTGTCGTATTGTCATACTGATATTCTGTACAAACTGTGAAGTCCACTGAGACAAATGTATTGGGCTATATAAATAAACATTCATTCATTACTTTTATGTAGGCCTAGTTGACGGACAATTTTTACTTAACTAAACAACCGCGGATGTCTTGAAAGAGTCTTGCGCTAAAGATTTTGAAGATATCCGCGTTCTTGTGACACGTAAATACTACGCTTCCTATGTTTTGGTGCGGATAGCGTTCACACCAGCAATGAACCGCTCCAGAGTTCACTAGCAAGCACTCCGAGACCACCTATTTTAGCGGACCAGAGTCCGGTTGTTTAGTTCACTTAAGAGGTCTCAGATTGTGTTCACACCGACCCAAATGAACCGCACCAAGCGGCTAAACGCACCAGGGTTCGATTCAACCGGACTATACAAGGCAGGTGTAAACGCACCCTTAGATTGTTTCTACTGATACTTTGATTCAACTTACTGCCATCACTTCGGATGAAGGCTTCTGCTAGTAATTATTTTCTTTCAATTAATCACTAGACTAGTTCAAATGTCCATCGCTTGTTCCAATGGACCACTGTGTCATCTTCAAATTGTTTGTTGACAAACATAGCCTTCATTTCACTGATTGCTGTTCAAGGACATACATCTACATTTTAGATTTACAAGGCAAGGCAAGTTTATTTATATAGCACCTTTCAACACAAGGCAATTCAAAGTGCTTTACAAAAATGAAAGACATTAAGAAAATGGCATTTAAAATCAGTCATTAAAAAGAAAAGCTAATAAAATAAACATTAAAAGAAAAAGTACATGGATCAAAGTTACAGTGCAGTCTAAGATATGAATAGTTCAATTAAAAGCAGCGACAAAAAGAAAAGTCTTCAGCCTGGATTTAAAAGTAGTCAGAGTTGTAGCGGACCTGCAGGTTTCTGGGAGTTTGTTCCAGATATTTGGAGCATAATAACTGAACGCTGCTTTACCATGTTTAGTTCTGACTCTGGGGACAGAAAGCTGACCAGTCCCTGAAGACCTGAGAGATCTGGATGGTTCATAATTTAGCAGGAGGTCAGAAATGTATTTTGGGCCTAAACCATTCAGTGCTTTATAAACCAGCAGCAGTATTTTGAAATCTATTCTTTGACACACAGGAAGCCAGTGTAAAGACTTCAGAACAGGAGTGATGTGATCCACTTTCTTAGTGTTAGTGAGGACTCGAGCAGCGGCGTTCTGAAAGATTTGTTTCCAATGTCCCAACTAATATTTAATCAGTAAATGGGAAAAATAATGAAAAATTGTCATTAGATGTTACATATTTGTTCATGCTTTGGAATTATTATTGTTATAAATGTATCCAAAACCTTGAGCAGAAAGGTGTTTTTTTTTAAAACAGGAAACTGTGAGAGAAAAGAGATTCTCACATTTCAGACGCTTTAGCTAGCAACACTTCTGTTTATTGAAAACAACCAATCACTAGGGGTGTTGTAAAGGTAACACATCACTCCTGTGGAGCATTGTGTGAATTCAGAGCAGTAACTGGTTTGACACTCATTTACTTTGATAGATTTCAATTAGATCAGATGAACACATCCAAAATGCCTTTACAGTCTTCTACAGGGCAAAAAACAACAAATAAGAAGAATGCATTTTTCTTTGCAGATAGATATACTGTGATTATTTTCAAAGCATGACTAAATCAAATAATTATTGAAACCAGCTTAGTCTACAATCTTTGAACTGGCCAATGACCAATCTGTGGAACTGTAAGTAAAAGAAACTCTGAAAGTTTGAACCCCTGATTGATGTTATAGGTCAGGGGTAGCCAACACGGTGCCCGCGGGCACTTAGTCGCCCTCAGGGGCAACGTGAGTCGCCCGCCGGGCATGTTCTAACAATAGCTCGCCAAGCAAATACAAAATGTATAAAATACACAAAACAAAAAAGGAAATGTAATTAAAAGAATCTACCCTATGCATAAACAAAACCTAAATCATCTACTTACTACAACTCTATATCTATCTAACACCCCTCCGCCCCCACAATGAATATCGACCAATCACGTTCTTGCTTGATTTGCGGGACCAGCGTTGCAGTCGGGAAGAAAAGCAATTGTGGAGCGGCAGCTCACCGCTTCATAAGGAGTGTGACCGTGATTTTCCTTCTGGCAGAATCGACACAACACATCAGCCCCATTGAACAGCCTAGTCGTGCCAGCCTACATGTATACAGCACATGAGGGGCAGAGCTTTACTCTGTGTGTGTTGCAACTTGCATATTTATTTATTGCACTTGACGCATGGCGTAATTTCCACTGGGGACAGGGGAGACATGTCCCCCCACTTTTAAAAATCCTGTTTGTGTCCCCTCACTTTACAAATATGTTTATTATTATTTTTTTAACGCAAGCCGTCATCGCCACAGAGGAGCACACAGCCTCTGTGAGCGAGCGAGACAGAGGGAGAGAGTGAGAGAGCACACCTGTATCTATTTAATATAGATAAAGTAAGAAATCATTTCAATGTGTACTATAAGACAGTAAAAAGGGGAGTGATTAGTAAATATGCATAAATGAAAAGATAGAATGCTAACTAGGTAACATAAGATAAGAATAAACAAGTTTCAATGAATTGTTATTGGTTGTGATCATATTCTAAAGATGTTTGGATTATTGAAAAGTATACAGCTCCCTTTCATCTGAGTGTTGAGAGCTGTATCCATACATTCGGTTTGTGCTCAAAGTGCACCAGATTGATGCATTTCACTTCTACATTTAAAAAAAACTCTTCCCGGGGGTGCATGCCCTCGGACCCCCTAGAGGATGTGAGGCCCACCCCCCAAATAAAGCAGGTTAAAATTAGGGGTGCACCGAATGGGAAATTCTTGGCCGAAACCGATACCGAAAATAGTAAACAGTTGGCCGAAAACCGAATGCCGAAAATGATTAATAGAAATATATATATATATAATGTATACATCTTTTACCAATGTTGTTCAGCTACCTGATTATGGAAATAGACATGATTATGGCAAAACTTAACTTAAATAATAATCACTATTATGGGTCCATAAAACATTTATTCAGCACTTTTGAATGCATACAGTACATTTATATATGTCATGTATTATTGCTAAAAAACATGATATCGCAGTCTTAGTGTCGCCAACTCGTTTCTATTATGCAAAGACAACAAATGCGTCTATGATGTATTTTCGATCAGACGAGATCTCTCTCCCCCGTCTGTGTGCGAGGGGGCGGGGCAGTTTACACACACGCAGCTGCTACATGCAGCGGAGCACACTGCGGAGATGGCGGAGAGAACGCGCTCCGAGGTGTGGTTAAACTTTACCCGTCTCGATGTGGAGAATACTTGTTACCATAAGTGCAATAAGAGTTTAGCATGTAAGCACGAGCAATTTGTCTAAACATTTAGCAAAAGTGCACCGCATGCAGACGGAGGAATGTACCGGGTTCGACCGTCTTTCTAGCAGCCCTGTAGCCCCATCCACGAGTAACGTTTCCACGTCAGGTGTTATGTATGCTAGCAGCTACACGGAGTTAACTACATGATACAAACATGGGTTAATGATTAGAGGAAACTGAGTTATTTAGTTTGTTAAAATTTCAGCTATTCTGTTTACAGTCTGTCATCAGATTATTTAATACGATTTGTTAAAGGCTCAGGGCAATCTCATGACAAAGGTCAATGTTCCCCCCCACTGTGAGCCAGCCGCGAGCATGGTCGCCGCGTCTTTATTACGTCATCACAACAACACGTTAGGTTACCAACGTAAGCCTGTTCTGACATTCGGTGATATTTTTTCGGTGCTAAAACCCTTTCGGCCGAAAGGGCCTTTTAACCATTTTCGGACGATAATTTTCGGTGGCCGAATATTCGGTGCATCCCTAATTAAAATTATTAAATTGAACACATTTTCTTTGAGTAAACACTGAAAACGGGTCCCACAGACCCAAACAGCACACAAAGGTTAAAGGTAAGCATATAATAATGTTAAAATGTGATAAATATATACACTGCAAAAAACAAAAAAAAGAGGAGTAAAAGTAGCTCACGACTTGTTTTATTTTTTGAAAGTAGCCCTCATCCTAAAAAAGGTTGGTGACCCCTGCTATAGGTTGTGTTGATTCTTGAAGCTTAACAAACTGAGTTGGTTTACCTTTCCTGCACCGCTCTCTCCGCTGACCACCAAGGACTGGTTCACCGGCTCCAGCTGGTTCTGCACGTTCCTGTAGGCTTCTTCTGCCACTATAAAGATATGTGGTTTGAACTCCTGTTGGCATAACACATTTCAAAATATTAAAGCGATGTTCATTATGTTATCACGTGGTGAAACTCGACCAAGTTGGTAGACATCAGACACAAGGATGAGTTATTGCTTATTTCTGACACGTTTGGGACGATTTAATCCTGAAAGTCCAGGAAACGGCCTTTGGAAAAAAACAAACTCTTACAACGCACCTATCGCAGCCCCACCCTCACACGATTGCTTGTACTACCATCTAAACGTATATAAGAAAACAGCACACATTAACAACAGCTTGATTAGGCTTGAGAGAACACTTCTGCAGTCATTCAAGATTCAAGATCATCAATTGACCAACAGAATATTTTTTAAATGGTTGGTGATAAGGAAGAAATAGCCATCTCATGTTATTTCTGCTAGGCCACTTTATGATCTGAGTTAGAGAGTCTCTGCTCTTTAAAGGCAGGTTACCAAACCATGACATTGAGGAGAAGGACAGAATTGACTCAATAAAAGCACAATAAAAACCGATCCTCATGGTTTTGTAGGACAGTTTCCTAAGACAATAGAAACGCTGGTGACCCCTTTTGCACACATCTTCACAATTTGCTTCAGAGCTCCATTTTCTGTCAATAATTGTCCTGAGATGTTTGTATGAATGCACAAATTCCACTTTGTGATTGGCGATGGATAAGACGTCATGTATGTGGGGTCTGAAGGGACAGCTGTTAATACCTGTGGCTGAGGAGCGCAGTGATACTCCTTCATCACATCCAGGGTGTACAGGTCTGGGATTGGCTGGAAGGGGTTCAGGGCCACTAAGGTGCAGCCAGCATGGGTGTAGAACACCTTCACCCTGTACCTGGCCTGGAGGCATTTCAGCACTACCAGTGAAAATAGTAAATATCATTAGGCATTAACAGGGAGAAAAGACAAGCAAATATTTTACAAATGATACTATACAGGAAAAAAACAATACCAGAGAAGAAATCAGCATTAAAATAGCAAACACATGTTAGTCTTTTATTAAATGTCTTTAAAAATATAAAAGAACCAGATCCATATAACAGATGCAGCATAATAAGTCTAAGTGGTTTAAAGGTTCCCTCTCATTGTCTACACTGCAGCAGTTTGGTGGCATAGCCGTCAGTCATCCATTTAACTTTTTTATCATCGCTGCAGATTTCATCTTAACCTGGTTAAACAATATGCAGCAAATGCAATCCAAGGTGACATGAGCTGGAAAACATTGGGTCGTACTGGCTACAGTTTGTAAATAAAGAACAAAGGGTGAGGCAACATATCCACGACTCACTGACATGATATGGTAGGGATGTCAAGATGTATGCCTTCAAAATAAATGGAAGTGGTACCTTTATGAACAAATATAACTATAAATCTATAACAGGTACAAATACATCAAGCCCAATAATACATCATGACAGTGATTTAAGGACACAAAGTCAAAGAGACATTATAGCCTCAGAACTACCTGTTGTAGGGGTCACTGGGTTGACTTTGGTGAGGTCGTCATAAGTGTGGAGTTGGTCTTCATCAATGAGGAAGGCTTGAATTTCTCCCTCCAGTGAATCATTAAGGGATGGGTGTGGAGAATGGACTTTCCGGACAAATCCTTTCACCTATGTGAAGGAGGAAACATGGGACATTGTGTTTAAAATGGGACCGAACAACACGCAAGGGTAGTATTGTCAAAGTTACCAAAAACAATCTTATTTTATGGCTCAAAATGTCAATATTCTGTTAATCTAAAAATCAGTGAAACGCTCCTGAGCTATGAAGTGCTTAAAATATTCCAACTCAACAATTATGTGTTCAAGTTTTTATTTTTGTGTTTGAGAGAGCTCTCAATGTCAACAATCATACAGATTACAATTGTCATTTAAGAATGTAATTCTTACATCACATGCTATATCCATTGGCACCATGGTTGACTTTAGAGGCCTCCAACAGCCCATAGTCTTAGTCAGGTAATTGCTAACATGCATTTGTTCAGGACCATTTTGGTCCATGCGTCATGTGTAATTCTCTCAGTCACAATCACTTCAGACTGACAAATGGTAGTCTGCTTTATCCTGCAGAGGTCACATGGCCTAGACCTGCAGCCCAACTGCCAGCTTTGACAGGTGCTTTGTGCGGACTCATTTAATCAATAAAAGTTCACCTACATCCCTTCACCCTATAAGGCCATTTTAAACCATGTGTCATGGTAATGATCTTAATGTTATGATTTATAACATTATTGCAGTAAATTGAGTAAACTGCTTTCATAGCTTCTCATACCAACTCCAGTCACAATTCTGGCAATATAGTGAATGTTGTTGTATTAAAGCTTCTTGCAAGCAGGCTCCTTCTTCAATATTCAGACATTATTTAAATGTGAGCCACCAAACGTTACGGCAACTCATGCTGTACTTTCAAACGTTTCCCACAACAATCAAACAGTCTGTATTTGTGAGTGTTAATGTATATGGTAACCTTTAATCAAGCAATGTAGAAATACGTTGGCAAATTATGACACTGGATTTGGTGCATTGGGAACTATTTTCATCCGGCGCATTAAACGTTATTTTACAGAGTTGTTATTCGGTCTCACTCTCATATACAGTTTATAGTCTCGCGTTGACGAAAATGTATACTTATCGTTTGAATACGAAACAGCCAATCCAAGGTGAGAACCAGGTACACATTGATAAAGGTAAGCAACTCAAGGTCAATGTACCATGTTAACTTATTGTTAACTTCAACACTTTTAATAAGGGAAAACAGCAAAACAGCAAATGTAGTAGACATGTTAGCTGGGTCTTTCCCTGACTTACCGTCGTCCCCCCTCCATTGCTGTGTCCTCCTTCTCTAACGTTAGTTCGTTTGTCCGCAGAAGTCATTTAATTGACGGTACCGTTACCTTCGTGTTCGTTTTAAGAGTCAGCCTAATACCTTGATAGGGACTTCGCCTATATTTTAAACAAGCCAAGGTGTGGTTATTCTACACTACAGTCTCGAGGCTTAATTTTTTCCATTACTGTCAGAAATTCCTAGAGGAGAACTTCCCGTGTCTGCTGCCTGTCCGACTGCTTTCCTACTCCTGAAGCCCACACTTATTCCCGCCCTCCCATGATGCTTCAGGGACCCAGATGAACATTACACCGGTATTTTTCTATAATTACACTTACTTATATATTTTATGTCTGAGACATAGATGCATATTGAATGCAGACTTAAAATCAGGAGGTTTTGTTTTTCTATTTCTATTTTTACTTATCCAAAAGTCTAGTCTTCATTTATCGGTTGCCTGATGTAGACACTGAAACAGAGCTATTTGACCTTCGTATTCACGATATAGTTTTAGTAAGATAAGTAAAATAGCCTACTATTTAGACACACAGGACCTGTTGAGGTTGGAAGTTTCCATAAATCCGAGTTGTCCTGAATGCGTCACGGGGTTGAATCCGGAAGCATAGTGACTCTGAACCGCTTTGAATTTGCATCACTGCAGCGAAATCCTGGTGGGTTAGGCTCGGGACCTCAAGCTACTGCAAACAGGTATGCTGTGAAACAGGTTTTTGTGAAGCTGAATTTCCGAAGCCTGACAGTAAAATCCGTGGTAAGTACTGATCACTAGACAGAAAACGACCTTGTATTGCGTCGTAGTTGGCTCTAGCTATATCAGATAACTGAATGAGAATGTAATAATGAGTCGTAGTGAGTGACACTAGTAAAATACCATATTAAAATGTGAAAACTAGTGCAGTTGAAAGTCAAATGTGTATGGTTACGCCAACAAACAAAGGCTGCTTGAGCTGAAAATATTAAATCAAGTGTATAATGCAGGGGTGGCCAACCAGTCAGAGGTTAAGAGCCACATTTTTTCTATGTTACTGCAAAGAGCCACATCAAACACATAGTCACTGATACCGCTTGTTTCCGTTTTTTTGTTTTCTGGAGACAAGATTTCAACCACGTCACTGATGCATCTTTGTGGCATTGGGATATATATTTTTTAAATCCTCTGGAGCAGAGAGAGGAGCTGTGGATTATTGTTATTGATTAATGCATCAGTGTTTCTTAGGGTCAAAAACACTAAACTCACAACTTAAAATGAAAGCGTTTAGTTTATTTAATAAAAGAGCACATGTTCAATGTGAAAAGTGACAGTAGTTATAGATTATTTGCAATTTGGTGCTATATATATATTTAAAAAAAAAATTATATATATTTTTTAAACACCTTGAATTTCAAGGGGGGGGGCGGGCTCCGTTGGCGGGGCGCAGCGCCCCTCCAAAACAATGGTAGGGGAAAATCAAATAGTGTTTAATCAACGATAGGTTTCCCCCCCCTCAAAGGTGATTGGTTCATTGCATCACAGGTATTATTTTGATTGGCTCTTGGGCCACATCAAAATTAGACGCGCTGTCATCCTCTCATACTGACACCTGACACCACACATACACACCGGGAGCTGGGACGAAAGTAACACGGGACGAAAGTAACGGAGCGATTTTATCCGAGCCCAAACAACTTTGACCGGCCAAATTATGTTAATACTTAACAGACCTACTAAATATCAGGTTTAACTGTCAGGAGTAGCTAGTGTTGTCACGATACCAACATTTTGGTTTCGATACCAAGTCAAGAATTGCGATTCAGATTCTTTTTTGATACTTTTCTTAAAAAAAGGGAAACAGTCTTAAATGTAATTATTGTGGTTTATTTCACACCAGAACCATAACACCAACTTTTAAACAATGAGAACAATAAATAAAATAAATGACAAGATTTCCTATTAAATAAAATTAATTAATGAATACATTTCTCACAGACAGGCCTCGTGGTGTCCGTAGGCTTGCCCTCACTGTCAGAGATATAGCTCAAATACTTCCAAATTTCGCTTCTGGCGTCTTTTTTGTCAACAAGCCGAGGCGCAGCGGCAGTTGCACTCCCACTTGCAGCCATGCTTCTCGTTTTCTCACATACTCTGGCAGCTAGCGCGTGCACGAGAGAGGGGAGGCACTTGAGCGTGCTTGAGAGGGGAGGGACTGCAGGCACGGCTGCAGTGCAGGGAGTGGAAGCAGAGCGCTGAACACACACGGCTCTTATTAAAACGGCGCTTTCTCACCGGAGTACTTTCCCCCGTCATTCTTAAAGTACCGATACTAATGAAACGGAGGAATCGTAACGTTTTTTAACGGCAGGGTATCGCGGTACCTTTCAAGTATCGGTACACCGTGCAACACTAGTCAGGAGTCAGTGTCTCTCCCCCAAACTCACACATATACAATTCGATATGAACTGAAGAGCCGCATGAAACTAGGCAAAGAGCCGCATGCGGCTCGAGAGCCGCGGGTTGGCCACCCCTGGTATAATGCAATGAGGGGAGACTTTTTTAACCTCTGAATCAGAAAGGTCTAAACACGGACCCTGTATGCTGTCACAGAGTCCTAAATGTTTTTATATGTCTCCAAATGTGTTTCTCTGATTTAAGTTCAAATAAATCATTTTATTGTTTTCAGGCCATGTCTCAGAAGGACCTGAAGGAAGCGTTTATCAGTAACCTCAATGGGACCAGTCTGCAGGAGGTGGCCCTGGGCTCTTTTCTGGCCCCACTATGTCTCATTAACAGAGGACTGATTTTGACTATCTACTATCAGGCCAAAAAGACTCTTCCTCTGCCACTTCCATTGATTTCTCACCTGATTCTAGACTTCTGTTTACTTATCCTTCCCCTCGTCCTGTCGTGCACCGTGCTGAGCAGCGTTCTCCACCAGGTCATCTTGGGCCTTACCGTTGTTTCAGCCTTTGTATTATGGTACATCCACCATGTCAGTATTCAATCTGCTCAGAGAACTGTCAGCACATTCCTCAAGAGCCACGTTCAATTCAAACAGGTTCCCTTTGTGACCATCTTTCGAGTGTTTGTGAATGTGAAAACAGCCATCAGCATTCTTGCCGTAGACTTCAGTGTCTTTCCAAGGCGATATGCTAAAGCTGAAACCTATGGGACAGGTGTTATGGACTTTGGTGTTGGAGCGTATGTCTTTGCAAATGCCCTTGTGTGTCCAGAGGCACGGGGGAAGAACATCTCAGGATCCAAGATGAATCACATCGCTAAGCAGCTCATGTCTGTGTGGCCCCTGGTTGTGCTTGGCATGGGAAGGCTTCTGAGCCTCAAGATGTCCGGCTACCAGGAGCATGTGACAGAATATGGCGTTCACTGGAACTTTTTCTTCACACTAGCTATTGTCAGAGTTGTGGCTTCTGTGCTTTTGGCCATTTTACCAGTCAATAAATCATGGCTCGTTGCCCTTCTGATCAGCGGATGTTATCAATTCACTCTGGAGACATCTAGCCTAAAGGCTTTCATTATCCACAACAATGACAGAGAAAAGGACTTTCTCCATGCTAACAAGGAGGGCATATTCTCTGTCCTGGGTTACGTAGCCATCTATATGGCAGGGGTTCAGGTTGGACTCTATGTAATGCAACCCAGATCCAATGTTAGACAGTGGCTCCAAACCATTTTTAACCTGTTCTTGGGAAGTGTGGTCCTGTACACTGCTTTGTACGCATGTCTGACATTCGTTGAGCCAGTGTCTCGCCGCCTAGCTAATCTACCTTTCTTCCTGTGGAGTGTGGCTCAGTCTTTGTTTTTTATGTCCTGTCTTGGTACAGCTGATATGGTTTTACTGCTTTCCAAAAGATCATCAGGCTGTCACTTGATGCCCACATCATGGAATTTGTATAAAAAACAATCAGACTCTGATAAAAAGACGGACGAGATAGAAAGACACTGTATTGTTCAAGCCGTCAGCAGGAATCAGCTGTTATTTTTCTTGCTCGCAAATGTCATGACAGGCTTAACCAACTACATAGTGGACACACTCAGTTGCAGTAGCTCATTTTCAGTGTGTGTGTTGCTTTCTTACATGTTCGTTAATTGCTCTGTAATACAGGTTTTACATTTCTTTGGAATAACTTTGAAATTCTGGTAAAATTGCATTCATCAAACATGGTTCATTTGTGTAAGGTTTTTTTTTCTTCTGGGGGTTGAGTGGCAGACTTGGACATTTAAAAACGCTGAAGACATAGATGTTATGTTACGAAAAGACGTGGAACCCCTTCTACAAGTATATACGGGAGCTGGACATGCCGGATGTCTCTGTACAATAGGGTGGTGGACCTGCGGTGTTAGACTGTGATTAGCGGGCGGCTGACTGACCAACAAGTGCTGTGTTTTTATTTTATTTGATATACTTGGTCTTTTTGTTCCATTTATACACATTATTTGATCTCTAAATTGCATTATGGTATTAATAATGGACTTAGACTCAGAGCCTTTAGATTCTGACTTTGTTTTTTGTTGTCCTGTCGCAGTCCATTTTTTGTTTTGTTTTATTCATTTATTTTTTGTTTTGTCTCTGTTTTTTATCCTGTCGGACTCAAATCACACTGTTGTCATCCTAACTTGTTTGCCAACTGCTATTGTGTTGTCTGTCTGGCTGTTTGTTGATAAAAAACTAAAAAGTTTAAATGTTACAAAAAGACATTTTCTGTGATATCGAACATATAACTGTACATTATGTTTATTTATGGAAGTAAATGTATGTCTTAATAAAATGTTGTCTCAAAATAAGTGAGGCCTTGGAAAACAAAATATAAAAATCCAAAAGTTTTCTTAAATTCTCAGTTGAGTCATTGCTAAATCATGCTTTCTTCTTATTCACCTTATCACCTCAATTTATCTTCCTATTCAGGCTGGCATTTAGGTAATGAAGAATCTATCTTTTGTTGCTACTGTTTCTACTAGTTAATTCACCCTCTTGGATCTTGTGCTTTTTTATTAACGGTTTTTGTATTTTATTTCTATTGTGTTTTTTTATTTTGTTGTGCTGCATTTTAATGAATGAAAGGTACACAAATAAAGTTATAATATTCTTATTTCTTACTTCCCTGCTTATTTTTATCCAAAAATCGGCTTAAAATCTAATACAGAAACATTATGAATACATATATATTAATATTAATTAGAAAGTGGAAATAACAAGGGTTTTGTTAAACATTTGAAACATACTTGATTTAATCAACTTTATTAGGCTTAATATTAACCTTAATATACAGTCTATTTTACTAACACATTTTCTCTCAAATATATAAATAAAGCGCCCCCTGGAGACAATAGAGTCTGGATGCGGATCCTATAGGGGGCGTTTCCTAAAGGGTTATGAACCCCGCCCCCCACGTATTTCTTAAAGGTATATGACGCTCTCTGTTTTTAATGAATCAAACGAACTTTGAAAAATAATAATTATAATTAATTTGCATAAAGAATGAAGAGTATACAACCCACAGAGAAGACAAATTCATAAATTGTAGGCATATCATTTTTCACTGTTTGTGCAGTGGTAGTAATTATTATTCAAATCAATCAACTACGTTTTATGGAAGATATTGCTGTTTATCATTTAACAACATGAGTAGAGGTTTCTGTACACCTAAAATACTGAAGTTGAAGTTACTGTCCTGATGTGTATCATTCATTTGTTCATGTTGTGTCTGGTGGTAAGATTAATTAAAAAAGATATACAGTACATACAAAGAGGAAAGTCTTTATTAAACAAACATTTGTCCATTCTTGATATCGGTAGAAATGTCCACAAAGCCCACACATTTTACAGTACGTGGACACATCTGAGAAAATACAAGAAAGTATTAGTGATGGGATTTACAGATGTCTATATATCTGTGTGTATACGATAGTGCGTGTGTGTGTAAAAAAGACAATATACAGCATATAAATGAATAGTGAATGACTGCTATACTTAACAAAATAACCTTTACTGTAGCATATGGATGGCCAGCGGAAGTATCACTAATATATTCATAAACTAAACATACCCTTTACTATGCCAGTGAATGTCACTATGTTGGCGTTATGAGTTATCGGCATAGGATCCGACAGAGGAATTTTTCCTGGGCAAACAGTGCAAAAGTTCTCAAGAGGTATGAGGCGCTTTGGCAGTGCCTCCATGTTCTGCGGTGAACATGCATCCGTTGACAGAACAGCTGGCAATTTCTTGTGGTCCAAAAAGTAAAGAACAAGTGATGTCAAAGCGGCTCCCTCAGGTGGATAGAGAATGTCCTCAGTAGTTCTGCGGTGAACATGCATCCGTTGACGGAACAGCTGGCAATTTCTTATGGTCCAACCAGTAAAGAACAAGTGATGTCAAAGCGGCTCTCTCAGGTGGATAGAGAATGTCCTCAGTACTGTGGCCTTCAGGATCAGATTCAACAAAGGTCTCAAACACATCATTGTCTGTACTTCGGACCTTTAGGAAGAGTTCAGGTCGGGTCTGATTCAAGTGCCATTTTGCTATGGACTTATGAGCACAGGAATTATTTGGCTTTGAGCATGGACACTGCCAAGCATTTCTTTTTATGTCATAACATACAGACACTCTCCCTAACCGCGAATAATATGAGGTGTATGTTTCAAGCACTGACACATAAACTCTTGATGCGCCACTGCAAAATGTCACCACTTTACTCAGTGGGCTGTTTCCAGACTCAGCTTTCTCCTTTCTGACTAGACACATTCTTTTTGTGTTGTCAGAAATCCATTTCTTCTCAACCATATCTGACAGAACTTCCTCCTTCAGTGTGACGTCTGGTTTGGATGAAGTAGGACAGTATATCAGAGACCTAACATGAATACACTCAAACCCTAATAAGTTACTTCTTCTGGAAAAGTCTGATGCCTGCTTGCAATTTTCAAGCTCACAAACAACTTGGTGGCTGTTTCCCCAGGTGAACTTCTGTACATGAATGGGGTTTCTCAGCCCAGAAAATGTTCTTCCAACAGCAAAAATGCCCTTTTTGAGGTCTAAGCATTGGGATGGAAGATGGCGATTAGAAGTAATATCAGGAACAGATGATGAGTGACGTCGATCCACGTGGGTCTTGAGGTTTTTCATATATAATTCAGTTTTACACAAAGGGCATGTTGTCCTTTTGGCCCTTGACTGGACTACTTTGCTGCGACTGATGGCTTGGAGTGGAGTGGAGGCTACAGATGCTGTGGCAATTTGGGAGGCTGCAGAGGTGACAGGGTAGGCTGAGGAGGCCACCGTGGAGGCTGATGAGGAGACAGTGGCGGCTGGTGGGGAGACAGTGGATAGATTACATTATAGAAGTATAATAAATTGTTCCCATGTTTTGTTTAAGTTGTGTTTAGGGGGAATAAGGTTATGACCACTGCTTCTGGTGTGTTCATATGCATCACTTACTCTGGCGAAGCGATCCAACGCTGCAGGCTGCCACTGCGCACTTCTGAACATGATTCCTAATAGTGGGCTGGGTTCTGAACTCCCCACAGTAGCAGCAGTGGAAATGTGGCGATTTGCAACACACCCCATTGCACCTGTACATTGTGAATCCTACAAAGAGAAATCCAGTTTACAAATGACTTAATTCTTAAGGGAATATAAAAATGTAAATTGTATTCAAATTCACATTAGAATAATATTAATTAGTAATAGTTAATTGGTTAGACTAACTAAAATTAGTCAACTATTTGTACATTTTGGATGATCTGCAACATTTATTTAGATTAAGAAATACCTCCATGTTTAACAGCCGTTCTCCTATGGGTCTGCAGATGTGCCGCAATATGGCCATAGTCCCCCACCTTGCTGCAGAATTTGCACTTGTATTTATTAGCGCCTTCACAAAGGGGTGTTATAAGGGCATCCCCCTTGTAAACAGTTGGGTGAATCTGGAAGAAAATGAGGAATTGTTTACTATTCAACTTTTTATTTGCACTTTCAACAGTAACCATTCATATCACATAAATGACAGGAAAGTTTTTGAATGAGGTTTGATATTTATATTTTAATTGGATTGCTTATTAGTTTATGCAGCTTAAGGGTCACATAATGTGTATAATATAACTAGTGTTTTTGCTTATCGATATTAGGAAGTTTTTATTATGTTACATTCTTTAACCTGTCTTTAATAGTGTTAGGTGAGCTATTAAGCATGCGACCAGTGACTCTTCTCTAATCATATTACTTTACCACATTTCTGATGATGCCATAACTAATGTTAACTAATGTTACATAATTATAGAAGACACATCCGAAGTGTTATTTTTACATATTGATTAGCAGCCGACATTTACTGAAAGGATGCGTCCGTCTCTCGTCTGGTTCATTACAACTAGTAGTTACAAACTGTTACAGTTACAACCTTAAGCAGTACCGCACATCTTATTACTCAATTCAACCAACCAAGCTAGCCATGTTGTCTATCCGAATCCATACCATATTATTTGTTTAAGTTACAGTATGTAGGGCAGGCCTACTTATATTTCCAAGATAATACAACAGTACACTAGCATCATGCTAAGTGCTGGTTAGCATCACAGCATATACGCTAACCTTAGGTCAATTAGATGATCAGCTTTGGTAACACAAATCAGTATTGTTACCGAGCCTGATAATCTATTGACCTATCTAAGCTTAACGTTATTACAACAGTAGAGTAGGCCTGGTTGCAAACGGGACTATAGGCCAACGTGTTTATAGCATCATGCTAAGTTAGCATTTAATACCACAAACATGTTTACCACATACAACTATTATTTACTTTATTAACGCTTAACGAGGTTGGACAGTCGATGTTGTAATTTGATAACGAGACAATTGTGTGTTAAGAAAAATGACATTACAATAAATATAAACATGCATCTCTGGAAAATACTATTACCGCTGTTTCAGCTTGTTGTTCGGCCATCTTGAAAGAACGAATGACTTCTTCTGCGAGGATTTATAAAAGCAGCTGGAATCCCTTAAATTGCATTACTGCCACCTACAGTATGTATTTCTGCTGAGTGTCATTATTCTATTGGATAAAAAAAGTTAGGAAACGCCCCTATAGGATCCGCCCCTATAGGATCCGCCTCCCTGCTGCGGTCTGCATCCAGACATCCCTGGAGGCCACACCCACTATAACGCCAGCTATGACGTGAAGAGGGCAAAGGTGAAATCAGTCAGGAAGATTTCGCCACCGTAGCAGCTCTCTCACTGTCGCACTTGTTTATTATTTAAGGAGAACTTTCAGTAGCGGGTAAGTGAACCCAATAATTAGTCTAAGTCAGGTATCCCTGTCATCTGTCGAGGTGACATGTTATTTTCAATATTTTAAATGTAAATAGGAGAAGCCCATGAGAGTGACAGTTGCTAAGTAGCCAGTCACCCAGTCAACTTTGTATTAGCCGTATTCAAGCATTAGCCTTGTAGGAGTTAGCCAAGTTTGCTGGCATCGACAGGGCGTAGACATACGATATTACCACTGCAGTATATGTATTATTGGTTAAGGTGATATAAACTTAAGTTTACATTCATCGCATGAACATGTTGTGCGAAGAATATGGCCGGCTTCCTACATTTCTAAAATCGTTCTGGCAAATCAAACTAGCTAGGAGGCTAACTGACTAGCTGCCGGTTACCGTACGTTTCTGCTTTAGCCTGCCTAGCAAATAGCAAGGTGTAAACATAGTCATAATTCATATGTCTTGCTCAAACTGCTTCAAACACACAACTAACTGAAGCGTCATAGACCTTCATCCATCCAAGCTGTCGTTTATCAGGTTGTTTTACTAACTAACTAATCTGGGTCAAGACAAACCTGTCTGTACTACAACTGTGTGAGTAACGTTAAATCAGATGTTATCAACGTCAGGAAATAGTGGGTGTTGTGTGCCGTGTTTTATTGCCTGTTTGTCGGAAACATAGCTTTTGGTGACAAGGTGATATTACAGTTAGCTTGCAATGACCTGTAATACATTAGCATTAGCTTGGTATAGCTTGTGCAAATGTGATTTATTGTGTGTCACCTGCAGGCGAGCAGCACCACAGCCCACTGGAAAAAGTCATGGCCCGTTTGGTAGCAGTTTGCAGGGAAGGAGAGGAGGACTACCCATTTCTCGCCAGACAGATTCCTCTGTATATCGATGATTCTCTCACGGTTAGTCAGCTTTCCCATATTGTTGATCACAAAAAAGAATGGAGATTACATGTGTAAAGTGGCTAATCATAATCTTCTTTGGGTCAGGTATTGGCACTCCATCAGTTCTCTGACTGATTTCCACAAATAAAGGCTAATTACCAAGCACTGATTATTATCTAAACATTTAAATCCAGGGAGGGACACACAATTTTGCTAATATTGTTATACTTTGCATTAGACAACGATAGATTTGTGTTGTTATTACTTGACATTTCTACACCTTAATGTACACCTAAAATGTTCTGCTAACTGCTCTGTACAAAGACACCTGCAAGCCAATCAGTGTCAATATAGTATAAACTATAACAACAAAGACTGCAATCTTGCCATGTGAAACTTATCAGCATGGCTGCAAATAAAATATTTCTACAAATATTGTACTTTAACTGTAATATGTTTTCTCTCTTTGTCAGATGGTGATGGAATTTTCTGATAGTGTCATGGATGTTGACAGCCAAGAAATAAACACGTCTCATTGGAAACAATTTTCTGAGGTAAGCGCTAGTTGTAATCTTCCGTGTACAGAGGCTGACGGAAGCCTCATGTGACTTGTCAACAAAGTGGTAACAAATGTATGATTCCTTCAGGATTACTCCAAGTTGAAGCAAGAGGACTTGAATATTGCCTTGATGGTGAATTCCAGAGAGGTGTACAGTGCATTATCTCAGCTGGTGCCATGCGTGGGCTGCAGACGAAGTGTGGAGCACCTTTTCTCACATTTAGTGGAATCTGGGAACCCAGCCCTGGAGCCCCTCACAGTGAAACCCACAGGCATGCTCTCTGTCACCAAAGCATGTTTAGCAGACGTAAAGAAGCTGTACACCCTCTTCTACGTCCACGGGTAAGATAAAAACAAGTGTGTTCCTAATATGTGACATCAATAAGAAATGCTCTATGTTTTTTGGAAGATTATGAAAGCATACTGCTTCAGTATACAAGCTGAAATAATGCTCTTTAGTACAGTGTTCCTACAGCTTAAGGCAATTAAGATGTATTACTTTATTAATGGCACTCAAAATTAAATGTATTACCAACTTTACAATTAGCAAAATGTAAGAAAAACCACAACATCAACCATTTAGGGTTAGGTAGAACTTTGCCTTTTTTTTGGTCCAGTAAAAAGATGGTCTAAGCATTTTTGTTTTACTTTTATTGTATACATTATATAAATATAAATGTAAGGCCTTATAATCAGATACATGAATTCAATGCACATACTGAGTAAAAATAGGTTCTGACACTGTGTCCTTTTCTTCTTGAATAGTGTCATATGTGAACAACTTGTACTGTTTTCTTTTTTTCAGGTCAAAGTTGAATGACATGATTGATGCCATTCCAAAAAGTAAAAAGAACAAACGCTGCCAGTTGCACTCCTTAGAAACACACAAACCTAAACCTTTGGGGTGAGTAAAATGACTTTTTCCTGTTGTATCAGTGGTTTCTTTCTCTAAAGAGACCTTAAGGCTGTTTGTGTTGTGACGCTGCATTTTAAGTCATCTTCTATCCAACCGTAGTGAAGGGATCAAAGAGAGAGTTGTACGTTTTAAGAGTTACACTGAAAGACGACAGTCTCCTTTCCTTTTGGACAGTTTGTGTCCCCTGTCCAGTAGAAAGAAAACAGAAGGTCTATATTTTGGGTCAGTCATCATTGTGTGCCATTTGATGTTTTTAATTTGTTACAGTTTGAGCACTTTGTCAAACATGACATTAAAGCCAAGCATGAGCCAGTTATACAACTAGAGCTAAATAAATAGAATATTAGACCTGTTTTTATATGCCAGGTTGCCCTGAGGCACGCTAATGTCGCTCAATATCTGCTGGATGTGCGAATTCTGTAAGGTATTGTTTGTTAAGAATTTCCTAAATGGGTTGCAAGTGTTGTATATTACATTACATGTCATTTAGCTTTTTTTATCCAAACTGACTTGCATATAATTCAATACCTTAGACCAGAGATGGAGCACTCAAGTCCTGGATTTGGACTCGAGTGCCGATTTTCGGGACTCGTGACTCGACTCGGACTCGCGCACTGATTGACTCGGACTCGTGAATTCTCGTGCACGATGACTCTGACTCGTGAATTTTTCACCCACGATGACTCGGACTCGACTTGTACATTGACGCTCCGTCAACACATTACTCTAAGGATCGAGTTCAGAAATATGTAGGCTGTCTTGAACACTATCATCAGAGTAATGTGATCTAATCAATAAATAAAGATTCAGCCGATAACATGAAAGCACATGGCTACTTAACCATTTTGCATGCTAAGTACGTAGCCATGTGCTTTCTGGGGCTTAATCTTTATTGATATAATTTAAACATTCACTATAATAATTGTAGCATCCCCGGCTGAATGATGGTCAGACTCTCCAACTGATGGTATCTGTTTATTGCACACCCTTGCTTTTATACAATCATTACCAACGTAAGAGCTTGTGCCCTTATCAGCCAGATGCTAAAGGCCGAATGCAACTATTTAGTATATGTTAATTTATTCGTCATCTATCCGTCATAATAGAGAGGCGAAGTCCCGCCCATCTACTTCCGACCCATGGGACCTTATTTCGGAACAATTATGTATTGAAGTCAATGGAGAGAGAAAGATTATCTCTCGATCCCGTTTGAATTGTGCCACGAATTACACATATGATGTTTGTCAATCTTAAAAAATCATTTCCATGTAAAAAAAGTCACAGTTTGTCGTAAAACTGTTGAAATATAAGACTATGAAAAATACGCAACTAGAAAGACTACAAATCCCAGAATCCCGGTCCTGCATGCTGGCTCTTATGGAACCGGCTCACTCCCCTTGTGTGTACAGCTCTCAACATGCCCAGACTTGGAGTGATTTTCACCTCGTTTAATACTTTTCGCCTCATTCTGAAAGAAAGAAGTGAAATGTTCCAACGTGACGGCCATCTTGGTGTGTGGTGCGAGACTGGAGATGTAGTTCATTGAGCGGTTTCACACAAAAAAAGTGTTACTTCACAGTTTTACGACACATTTGTTGTTTTTTTACTTGCAAAATGATCTTTTCAATTGACAAACATCATATGTGTAATTCGTGGCACAATTCAAACGGGATCGAAAGATAATCTTTCTCTCCCCATTGACTTCAATGCATACTTTTTCTGAAATAAGGTCCCATGGAGGTCCCCCGGAAAGGGAGGGACTTCGCCTCTCTAGATACATGTGTGTTTACACTGCTCCGTTGTCCATTGACTTACGGTAAAAGTTCCTTCAAAAGTCCCGATCTTAATACTATCAAAATAAAAGTGCAAAACGAAAACTTTACCATAGGAAAAATATTGGCATACAAATATAATCACTTCTCTAAAACTCATTTTAAATATAGTTAGACATATTAAAGGTCATATATTAATATTAATATTAGTAATAAGCTTTATATTTGTATAGCACCTATTACAAGAATTGTAGCCAAACTCGCTTCACAGCAGTTCAATGGACAGCTTAGTATAAAATGTCAGGATAAAAGCAATGTAGAGGAGCAGCTACATTTTAACACATATATCCACTAAGATTAATACATGAAGACTTGTGACTCGGACTTGACTTGGACTCTTCTTGGGTGACTTGGACTGGGACTCGAACACAGGTAATGATGACTCGGGCTCGACTCGGACACTCCTTGGGTGACTTGGACCCGTACTCGAAAAGTGGTGACTCGAGAGTGACTTGGACTCGTGAATTGGTGACTTGACTACAACACTGCCTAAGACTACATAGCTACAGAAGCAATTTATGGTTGAGTGTGTTGCCAAAGGACACTTTGACATGTTGAC